GATATGAAAACTGATGATTCTTTAGAGCAGGGGGCAATCTGAGCAATCCACTGACTGCAATGATAAATGTGGGCAGCAGCAGCACATTTAAAAAAAAAGACAAAACAGTGACAACAACCTCCTAAAGAGCACACCAAACAGTACATATATGCATGTGTATGTATATTTATGTTTGTTTGTGTTTATGTGTATAAACTCACTCCCATAGGTGCCTGAGAGCAGGACTACAAGTCAGGGAGCCTGGATTTAACCTGCTACAGATTCAAGGTAGGAGACTGCACAGAATACAGTTGTGGAGAGTGGGAGCTGGCTATGACAAGCTAAAATGTGAAAGTGGTAGGGGGCCAGATGCAGACAGTGAACTATGTAAAGAATAGTAGCACTGCCTGTGCTTTCTGGGTGCAAACATCATCAACCGATAATAACCATGGAGTTTGACACTCACACGCCTGATATTGGCTAGTTGCTCAACTTGTAGAGCCACTTATCTGCCTTGTAGAGTCTGGAAACTCTATAACTCCAGTTGACTACTGACATGCACTGTAATATTCCTTTTCCAATGAAGCTTAGCAGATTTTTGAAAACACAAAGGCAAGTTCATCTACATAGCGTTGTGTTTGCTGTTCCTACTCCCAATACTCTTCAGAGACACTCCTGAGAGAGAAGATGAAAACTGAAGATTCTTTAGAGCAGGGAGCAGCTTGACCAGCCCACTAAGTGAAAAGAGAAATGTGGGCAGCAATGGCACATATAAATAACAAAAACAGCAGCAACAACCTCCCAAGGATGGCCCCAAACCTAAGACTTTAAATAGAAGACAGCTCTTGCAGAGCTAGGAGACCAGCATAAATAATGAGAAACACTGTTTTCAAGTCTAATTTTCAAGACCCCAGGAAGAAACTGGTACAACACTTCAGCTTTTCTTTTCTTCCTACCCCTCCATGCTTCCTCCTTTTTTATTACTTTCAACATACTATTAGCAATATTTTGCTTTAATCATGGTTTGTGAAACAAGGTCTCATATAGCCCAGTCTGACATCTTTGGATTAGACTGGGGTCTTCTTATCTTGTAAAAAAAAAAAAAGTCATTTGGTATTCTCTGGGTCAAAGGTTGACATCTGGATTCTTACATTACAAAGATATTGTCCACCTGGGTCTGTGTAGCATATTGAACAGTAGTTGGGATACATTGAGTCAGCTGAGAGACTAAAGAAAGACCTATAGATATAAAAATTAAAATGGTTGTTAAGCTTCAGATGGATACCCACTAGCTCCAGCTGCCCCTTCTCTACCCACCTACCACCTACAGACAATGTGTCCCATGCTTCCTGCATTCCTGTAGGGACTTCTGACACTTCTGCAGTTCCCCATCTCCACCATGTAAGGATTGTATGTCCTGTGCACACCTCACCCCAGGTAACACTGTCCACTTCTACAACCCAAGGACTACATGTAGAACTTGGTGAGCCTTCCACACACTTCTTATAACTTTATAGAACATCTGCTCTTGGGATTAGAAGCTGTACTTAGCCCTGGCTGAGTTGTGATCATTTTCAATGCCCTGTTTATACATCAACACTAGGTTGGCCCCAAACTGACCCTGCAAAACATTTCACTGGCCCATAACCTTAAAAGTTGGGTAGTATCAAACAGATACCCAAATATCTACTAAACAAAGGTGATACCAATTGGCCATCTCAAAAAACATTACTAATGACCTAGGTATCGATGCTTAGGTCCCATCACAAATCACAAATAACATGACTCCATGTGATGGCTATTCTTCATTGTCAACTTGACTACACCTAGAATTTATTAAAACTCAAACAGGTGGATACATCTTTGAGAAATATGTCTTGATTGGATCATTTGAGGTGGGAATACCCACCTTAAATCTGGACCATACCTTCTGGTGGCAGCCTATATAACAGACAAAGAAGAAGGTAGCTCTTGCTCTTTACCTATTTGCCCTCACTCTTGATGTCAAGTTCATCCCTTCAGGATTCCTGTGTATATTGAAGACCAGCTGAAGCATCCAGCCTCGTGGACCAAAGAGCAAGATTCTACAATGCAATTTAAAAAATTAAAAAATACTTAAAAGATTCCTATCCTGTAATGGGAAGCAGATAGGCAATCTTACCAAGCAACTCTGACCCACTGGAGTTCTACTGTCTTCTTGGACTGTGAAATGAGAAATAAGATTTGGTTATTTACAGAGAACCTATGGGATACTCACCTCTCACAGATCTGGCCACTTGCTTCTGTCCTTTTACAAATAATATTTGGTAAGTGAGAAAGGTTTGATTCTGGTGAAAAAGAATTCACAATCATACCCTAATGTTAATATTCTGTGATGCAACTGTCCATTACTTCCTAAACTGGAGTCTGGTATAATACAATGCTAATAGGTCAGATCAGTTTGTTACCCACAAGGAAGAGTTATAATAATTTAAGATATTGAAGAGCAAGCTTTCCTAGAATTAGAGATAACCAATTTACACGAGGTTATGGCTATGCAATCAAAGCGGTCAGAAGAAAAACTAGAGTTGGAGGATAACTAACTGTTTCAAGTATACCAACCATCCAGCAAAATGATTCATAAAGTAAAATGACTACAGACATGGGGGAATATGTAATTGGCCTGGATATGCAGCATACTACACAAAGAGGAGTGTGCACAGGATGCCCACTTTCATCATCCGCTGTTTCAATTTATTAGGCCAATCTGGTTTATTTGTTTGTTTGTTTGCTTGGTTGGTTGGTTGGTTTGGTTTGGTTTTTTCGAGGCAGGGTTTTTCTGTATAATTTTGGTGCCTGTCTTGGATCTCGCTCCATAGATTAGGCTGGCCTCGAATTCACAGAGATACGCCTGGCTCTGCCTCCAGAGTGCTGGGATTAAAGGAGTGTGCCACCACTGCTCAGCCCAACCTGTGTTCTTGATTATTTTAATATTAGGTATAATAATATAATAACATGTCACATGTAAATGTTATGGCAGAAGCACAGGATGGAAAAGAAACAGAAGCCAGATCCAGAAACTAATGGCTAATAGCTCTGATATAATCCAGGAGTTTCTTCCTTAATGGTTTTACCAGCTATTTTTTCCTCCTGCAAATGGCTATCCTGTCTGTTACTCAGTCTCATCTATATCAAACCTTAGCGATGAGCCCTCCTAGAAATGAAGGACATTAAATAATATGTACTAAATAATTTGTGGCTCCTGTACAGGGATAACTGTGAACAAAATTTCCTAGAATGAAGCTTACATTTTCCATTGAACCTTCTGCAAGGACGATTAATTAAAGCTTCAAAGTTTTGGGGAAAAGTTGTAGTGTTGTGGGTCCAGAATCCAATTAAAAGTTAACTTTCAGGGCTAGAGAGTTGGCTCAGTAGTAAGAGTGGATGTTTTATGCTAACTGATTTTCAAATGATCCTTCACCTGTGAGGGCATCTTTGGCAATGTTTTGAAATATTTTTTGTATCTGATTGGAGATGGTGTTCACAGAGTACAGGACTGGGAGGTACAAGGAAAGTGTCGTTTAGAGTAGTCATGTGTGTGTATGCTTGAGTGTGTGTGTGCACGTACGTGCATGCATTTGGTTTGTGGTATGTGCAAATATACGTACATATGTCCTGCTATATATTGTTCTTTGCTGCCCTCTCCTGCTCTTTGCTACACTCCATTGCTCCTTCCTTCTTTCTTTCTTTCCTTTCTTTCTTCCTTCCTTCCTTCCTTCCTTCCTTCCTTCCTTCCTTCCTTCCTTTCTTCCTTCTTTCAATTCTTCCTTCTTGCTTTCCTTGCTCCCTTTGCTGAGGAGGAGGGACACAAGATCATTCCTACCTCCTAGGATGTTCCCTAGCCCCAGCCTGCCTAGTTAGTGAACTTGCTTCTTGCTTGTTCTCGTTCCCTTGAGTGGATCTTGGGGGCCTAGAGGTTTGGTTAATTTTATGAAGCACGATGAAAGAGCTGCAGGCATTTTGGTAGAAGAGCACCTAAGTAGAAAAGTAGAATTTTACAAATTAGGAAAATATTTATATTTTGTGCCATGTGTACCACACATAGGACAAACCTATGAAGAAGTATGCTGCCGGGTGGTGGTGGTGGTGGTGGCGGCGGCGGCGGCGGCAGCGGCAGCGCACACCTTTAATCCCAGCACTCGGGAGGCAGAGCCAGGAGGATCTTTGTGAGTTTGAGGCCAGCCTGGTCTACAGAGCGAGATCCAGGAAAGGCGCAAAGCTACACAGAGAAACCCTGTCTCGAAAAACCAAAGAAGGAGGAGGAGGAGGGGGAGGAGGAGGGGGAGGAGGAGGAGGAGAAGAAGAAGAAGAAGGCATGGAAATTCTGTCTGGGTATTTCTATAAGGTATGGATCAGAAACTGAGAGCATGTATGTAAATCTGCTTGGTTAGTCCTGTGTGGGTCTGTGTTTGGGATAACTAAAAAAAATAAGACCTAATTGGAATAGGAAGTGATTCCTATTTTGGAAAAACAACATGCATTATTATTGCCTCTGTTACATATATGTTGTTTGAATGATATTTGATATGAATTTGATAGATTCCTAGGAGAGTAGAAATCCATGACACATGAGACCTGGTGTAATGAATGTAGATCCTGGACTACAGAACATACACAAGGCTCTGTTCTTAAGACTACTATTATCATTACCAACCAGGGAAGGAAGGTCCGTGGTCTTGCTCTGAGCTCAGCCTTAGGGAATCTCACTTGGGAAGTGAACAATCCTAGCTTCACCCATGAAGGAATATGAAAAGGATCCAGGCACATCCTTTGCCCTGTGGAGCTCTGAGGGAGTTGGTTCTGTGGGATGCTTTCCTGAGCCTGGGCACTGCCAAACACCCACAGGCAGGTGTGGAAGGAAGCTCTTGCCCACATCCTGGGAGCAGCTCAGAGCAGATTGCAGCCTGCTCTCATTTACCCTGGTCTCTCCTGGGTACTTGCTGCTAGCTGCTCTGCTGTGTCCCCTGACAGCCCAGACTGAGATGGCCAAGTTCATGTTCCTTCTCCTGATGCTGGGGGCTTTTTCTCTTATGTTCTTCCAAGGTGAGGGTGAGCCCCTGGACGCTGAAATGGCGGTGAGGACAGGGCCTGGAGATGGCTGGGAGTAGACCTGGGATGATGGCCTGAATGGCTGGAGTAAGAGGTCGGGTCTCTCTCCCAGGTTCTCAGAGTGGTGCCAGTCGCTCCCTAATGAAAAATGAGTTTGTGTGTCCTTATACATCTTTGTCTTTGAGTCAGCCTGCCAATCTCCAAGTGGCAGCCAATGGGTGTTCAAGACTTTCTCTGTAGAAGCTGCCTAGCACAGTCATCTGTTGGGAAGGGGCCAGTGGAGGAGCTTGTCATTAACATGATTTTAAAATGTCATTTATTTGTTTGTTTATTTATATGTGTATTGGGTTGAGGGGAGTATACTACAGTGCATGTGTGGATGTCAGAGGAGAGCTTGTGGGAATCAGTTCTTTCCTTCTACTATGTGAGTTCCAGGGATCAAACTCTGGTTGCCCAGCTTTGTAGCGATTGCTTTTACTGGGTAAGCCACCTTGCTAGCCCTTAGCAAGCACATATTATTAAACATAACTGGTACCAGGGGGTTTAGATGGGCTTTAAGGAGTGAAATTTAACTTTGTGAGTGTTGTGCAAGTGTGAGATGTGGATTTGATTTGTCCAATCACACCCCTTATATCATACCTCCTAGCCTTGTTCACATCAGCTGACAAAAAGCACGTTTTTCTTTAGTTTATTTTTATTTTTGAATTACATGTATGTGCATGAGTGTGCATGTGCATTTGTGTACATGAGTGCAGGTACCTCTAGAGCCCAGAAGAAGATGTTGGAGCCTCTGGAACTGGAGTCACAGGCAGCTGTGAGCTGCTTGACCTGAGCACTAAGAACCAAGCACAGATCCTCTGCAGGAACAGTGCCTGCTCTTAACTGTTGAGCCATCTTTCCAATTCTATCGATTCCCTTTATAAAAAGTAGCTTTTATGTGAAATAATTAACACATCACAGCTTTACCTACTAAAATTGCAAAAGGATTTTTATGATTAATGGAATTCAGATCCAGAGGTCAATGACTCGCATAATCTTGAAGTCCAATGGAAGCAATGTAAGGATAGTTTCAGTCCTAGGTTATGAGAATTTTTTATTATCATGCTTTATTCTCTAACTGTTCTCATCCATGTTGGTCCTAGCCCAGTTAGCCCATGTCTGTCTGTTTTTTCTTTCCTAGCTGAAGCAATAATATGCATGGCCTGCAGCATGTTTATGAATGGCAGATGTGTAGAAGGCGAGGGTGAATGTATCATGGAGGAAGGCGGTGCGTGCACAACCAGGGATATCTATCTTTCCAATGTCAGAGGTAATGCTTACAGGGAACCCCAGAGAGCTTTGCAAGGAAGTGGTCTTTCCTGTGGAAGAGCAGGGTTGGTGTGGGTAGCAAAGACTCTCATGCATTGAATTTCAAGTCTTGTTTTCTTATACTAGATATCAATGTTCTTTCCAGGTGAGTTTCTCTACAACCACACTGTACTGGAGTGCTCTAAACCGTGTAATCCTTCAAAGAAGAGTTATTTTCATCTGAAAATTTCAAGCTTTTGTTGCCAAAGTCAAGATTTCTGTAATAGATATAAAGTAAAGCTAGTGAACAAGTATGCTAACTGATGGCCATGCCCTTCCCTGCTTCAGTTTCCCTGGTTCACCTGCTGGATCCCTGCAAGTGCTCTGCTGAGGATGGAGCCACTCCTGGACCTACTAAGCATCCTTCTTCCACTCTGTCCCGGATACTGACTCCTTCTACCGTACATCAGACACCAGACATTCTCCATTCACCCTTGTTTCCTCTCTTCTTCGTTCCCATGTTAAAATCACCACCAGTCTTGCGAGTCTTGCCTTTCTCTGTTACTGAGTTACTCTGACTATTGAGCTGCCTGGCTTCTAGTCCCACTGACTTAGAAACGACTGTTGAGAGAGTCTGCCCATGTGGTGGACTCCCCTTTACTCTAAGAGTTACAGGCTCCATAGAAAAACTGAGAGAAAATGCCCAATGGATAGAGGTCCTAACATTCAGAAAGAAACGAAGGCCAGAGTCAGCAAGCTGAGTCAAAGTCAGCTTTGAACTCATAGCCAGGACCTCCTGACAGCTAAGTTATGAGATCTGGAATTGTCAATGAGTAGAATAAGGACAGGGCTGCTTTGGTCACAGCAGACAGGAACAGACACACAGTAGAGTGGGTACAGGTCCTACCATAGAAGATTGATAGGTAATGGTTGGAGAGATTGGAGGAGGACCAGTAGACAACTGCTTCTCTGCTTTCTGGAACATCTTGGGGGTTATTAGCAGAGTAGGCTCAGTGCAGAATTGGGATGAAACTATAGTACTGATGAATGAGAGTTCTGTGGCCAGGAAGATAATAATGTATTCAAGCCTGAAAAAATAGAAAGAATTTAGAAAACGTCTGTCTGTCTATGTCTCTGTCTCTGTCTCTGTCTCTCCTCTCTCTCTCTCTCTCTCTCTCTCTCTCTCTCTCTCATTCTCCTCTCTCCTTAAAGAAGACTGAGAATGCTTTCAAATCCAAAGCATCTTCAGTTCTCACTTTAGTATAAAGTAGTTCTCTCAAGCTCCCTCCAGAGTCCCCTACCACCACCTTCCTGCTCTTTAACATTTTAACATTTTAAACATTTTAGAAAACTCTTATATTCCTAATATATCATGTCCCCTGCTTTTTTGTCTCTTTTCTTTGTGTTAAATTCTCATTGTTCTGGATCATTTCTTCATTCTCCTTTCTTCCCAAGTGTCAGTTCAAATGTGAAGAACACTGTTAGTATGTCGTATTACAGCATTCAACTACATATTTCTCATGAATACTTTCAAAAGAAGAGGAGTATTTTGTGCTTCTATAAAGAATGCTAGAAATAATTTCATTTTGCTTGACTTCTGTTGAGTGAATTTCTTGCTGAATAAATGAGAAAAATCTATAAATCTAGTTTTACATTCTTGGTTATCAAGTTTACACTTTTTTCATTAACTTTTTTCCCTTTCAAAATGGAACTGATAGAAGGGGTCTTTGAAAGACTACTGTGGAGAACAGCCTAAGTGGCCAGAGCTCATTTTTAAAAGCTGGTAAATCAACAATAATAAGCACCTCAGTGATGATGAACTGAAGATACGTCTCTCTAACTGACCCCCTCAAAAACAATCATGGTTAGGTCATGGAGACAGTGTTAATGAGAATACTTTTACTATTTTCAAAACTTCATTGTTAGTCTATGCTCATTGTAAATCCTGGACCTTGTAAAGTATTTGAGCAATATAAATGAGTTAACAGAGCAATGAAAACAGAAACAATGGGCGATCCACCCAGTGAGTGGATTTGAGCCACATCCAGTAGAAGCCCAGTCAATATTAACCTCAGACTGATGCTCAAGGTTGCAGGGGCTCATGGGGTTGTTAGAAACACTCCTGCTGTGGCACGAATGACACTTCAGCACTGTGTCCCCCCTGTCCTCCTCTGTAACTATAATTCCCAAACACGAGATGAACCAAAATCTAGACATTGTGAAAAGTCCCAATTCCATATCACTCAACCTTATCAAATCACAAACTACAAGAAAGTCTGGAAAGCTGTTGCAGCCCAGAAGAGGGTGAGGAAGCACAGTAAAGAAGAGAAATGGGGCTCTCTCTTACTGTCCACACCATCATTCTTATAGTCTGGTATATGTTAAGTCGGTTAAAGATTTGTAGCTCAGTGTTTTAATGTGATGTCAGACCTGCAAGCATGCAAGAAAGGAACTGAGGGTAGGAGTCGACTGAAAGAAGCAAGGGGTTAGCAGGAGTGGGAGGGGACCAGGGAGAGAAACGGGATGAATGAAAACGAAGTGAATGAAAACATGATGATGTATGTGTGACACTGTCAGAATAAGTAAAAATATTTTTATTTTTCTAAAATTCTAAAGTTGATTAAAATGGCTTTTGTTTATTAAATCACATGAAGTTCTGTGTGTGTGTGTGTGTGTGTGTGTGTGTGTGTGTGTGTGTGTGTGTGTGTGTGGCAAATAAGCACATGTGCATGAAGTTGTTCATGCCTATACTCAAGGAAAGAGGCCGGATGAAGATATTAGATGGCCTTTTTCATCGCTCTAAACCTTATTCCTGTGAGGCAGGAGCTCTCACTGGACCTAGAGCTAGGCTGTCAGCCAGCAAAACCAAGAGATCCACCTGTCTTTGTCTCCCACAATGCCCCTGTAAAGAAAAGTTCATTGGTCATGCTGGCTTTGTGGCAGCAGCGCTGGCTGCAATGTATTCAGCACAATGCATGCAAGTTTATGGGTGGGAGAAATTACAGGGATTTTTAGCAATAACAACAGATCATCTACGAAGTTTGAACCTAGGAAGGGAGGTTACTTTGAGGCATGAGTTTTGGACGCTATAATAATCTAGGTGAATACTTGCCAAACTATGACACCAACACATGCCTCCTCAACTGGTCTTTTGCATTGGTGCTGGATCAGAACTCAGGTCCTCATGCTTATATAGAAAGCACCTTTGCCAACTGAGTTATCTCTCCAGACCAAACATTTAAAAACAGTCCTGAAACAACTTACTTAAAACACCATATTAAAGCCGGGCGTGGTGGCTCACGCCTTTAATCCCAGCACTTGGGAGGCAGAGGCAGGCAGATCTCTGTGAGTTCGAGGCCAGCCTGGACTACCAAGTGAGCTCCAGGAAAGGTGAAAAGCTACACAGAGAAACCCTGTCTCGAAAAAACCAAAAAAAAAAAACAAAAAAAAAACACCATATTAAGTTCTCAAACTGCCATAACAAAATGGCATAAACTATACGGTTTTTAAAACAATAGAAATCTACTTTCTAAAAGCACAGGGTCAAGATCAAGAAGCCCCCTCACCTATTAACCTGATGAAGAGGGGGCCCTCTTCCTGGTTCATAGGATACCATATTTTAGTGACAAGTGCATGTATCTGGTACCATGACCAGAATCTTAGGTTTAGCATTCAACAGCACAGATGACAAAATAGACACCTTCACTAAAGTCCTCTGTTGGAGTACCTAACCCTTTCCACAGAACAGAAGCCAAAATAAGCTACTATTTAGCGAGTGACGAACAGTCTTTGAGAATTTTGGCTGATATAGGGAAATGTCTAGCTCTTCTCTTCCTTGTAGTGGCCCTATTACTACCACGTTCAACTAAAGTCACAAGTCTGCTGTTCCCCCTTCACTCTCAGGCTCTCCAAACTCTTCACATCTCCACTGTTGCCATAGCCACCACAGCTGCAAATTAAGCTTGAATAGCCATGGCCATCTTGGTTTCAATTTGCCAGAGTATTAGCCTCCATCACCACAGGTTTCAGAGCTTCTGCCTCAAAGTAACCTCCCCTCTTAAGTCCAAAGTTTGGAGCAACTGTCGTCATTGTTAAAATCATGGTGGCTTCTACCACCACTGAAATTGAAAGAATTGATCAATAAATTCACACAGCACATCAGTGTCCTCAAAGACTTTAAACTACATTATGCTCTCAATGAAGTTTTTATCATGTAGTTCAAAATCTTCTTAAAATTAACAAAAGTGGCCACACAATACCTTAAAAAGTGAAAAATCAAATCAAATCACTCCATTGATGAAGGTCTCAAGCCCCTTTAGCCAACTACATTTTTTCCAGAAAACTTCAAAGTCCATTGAGAGCATTTTTGTCTATTTTACTTAACTTGGCCACTTCTCTAAAGATTGTAATGAAAAACTGCTGTATTGTGCAGTACAGTATTGTAATTCAGGTTCCTGCTGTCAGTCCAACTCACAAAACATAATGGACTTAGCCAGAAACGCTTTATTGGATATTCTACAGAGCATAAAGTCTAGCGGCAAGCACATAGGCATCTGAGCTTCTCCGTGGCCAATGCCTTACCACCTCAGAGGGAAATAGACCTTGGTTTACAATGGTGTATAGACACTGGCAGAGCAGGGCAACTATTGGTCCTGCAGTAGGATGAGAACACCATGACCCTGACCTCTGATTTGGAAATCAGATAAGGCTCTGGTGATTCTTTTCATCAGGTGGGCCCCTGGGAATGTTCTCATAATGGGTCCTTCCTGTCTATCTGTGGAGTGGGTCTGGGAACTGAGGAGCGACAGCAAAGAGATAAAGAGAAGGCATTGTTCTAAACTTGGGACAAAAATCCTACACCACTGTCATCTGAGAAGTATGCACAAAGACTCAGAATTAATTAACTGTATGTATCGTTCACCCATTCCCTAAACCTATGTGTGAATTGAAAAATCCTGGCTTTTGAACAGTGACAGCCAAAAGGATACAGGAGAAAAAAGTGTGGAGTAGATGTGTTTAGTGTGTTTGGCCAACCATGGTGGTCGACATTGTGTTGACAAAGGGATAGAGTGAGCCAGACAGGAGAGCTTTGAGGGTCTCTGATCTGATCATTTGTAACTGTGGATTTTTACCTCATATTTCAGGTTAAGCAAGACTCCTTCCGGAATAAACTCTGTGAATAAACGAATCCATGTGAGAACACATCATAAAAGGATACCAGTTCACTGGGATTATCTGACAACTGATGCCAAGCAAGTTGTAAGGTCAGCTTGCTCATCCTCTCAGGAGATAGAATCTTGTTTTGCAACCAGCCACTCTGGGGA